CAAAGCTGATTGCAAGCTGCCCTTCACGGACGTGAAGGCATCCAGCTCTCGGGCGTCCCCCCTGTTTCCAACAGCCGAGAGTGCGTCTTGCAGGGCACCCGTGTCCATGGCATCAACCAAAGCTGATTGCAAGCTGCCCTTCGCGGATGTGAAGGCATCCAGCTCTCGGGCGTCCCCCCCGTTTCCAACAGCCGAGAGTGCGTCTTGCAGGGCACCCGTGTCCATGGCATCAACCAAAGCTGATTGCAAGCTGCCCTTCACGGACGTGAAGGCATCCAGGTCTCGGGCAGAGACGCGCTTCCCGCCGCCACAGTCTTTCTTTGATTCCGCAGGTGTCGATGCTGCATGACAGGTCGTTTCTGGTTTTGGTCCAACTGCCTGCGTGACGACATCTTCTAGCTGGCCTGATTTGTAGGCATCCTCTAGCTTGGATTTCAAATGAAGCCGAAGATCCTCGAGAGGTTCTGTGGGGCTATCGGCTTTAGGAAGAGGTGAGGCCCCTTCAGGGATGCAGGTGGGCTTGGGCGATGCAGAGCCGCTGGGCCCACCGCTGGGCCCACTGGGCTCGCTTGGCTTTGGACTCCCTGCCACATGGGCCACATGGGGCCGCGGGCGTGTCGGCGAGCAGCTGGGTGGAGGCTCGCGGGGCGGCACGGGAGTTTTTGGAAGAGCACTCCCTGGCCTGGACACGATTCTCTCCAAAGTTCGGGTCTTGCTCTGAGCTGCACTGAGTTGCTCAATCATATAGGCGTAGGGGTCTCCAGGTCTTACCTGGATGACGGCATGAAGCATGGACTGCACATACCTCAGTAGGCCATGCTGCTCCAAGTAATCTTTAGCGGAAGCAGCGGCATCCTTGAAGTTTGGGCCCAAGCTGTCAGCAGGGTTGCTTTCTACAGGTTGGTCTGTCTGTGCCTGTGCCTTGAGGCCAATGACCATATGTGGAGATTGCTCGAAGCCAATACTGTACAATTCCTCATGCGGATGAAGAACCAAGCGTGTTGTGGCCATGGGCTGCAAGACGTCAATTTTCAGCGGCTCCGACACCGCTTCAATGCTAACCGGAAATTTCAACGGCTGCGTAGTGAGCGTCTCAAGCGGGGCCTGCCTCCGCATCCCGCCACAGCGAACCGAAACGATTGCATCATCTGGGATGCCCAAGCAGTGGTCCACCAGAACCTCCATGACCTCCTTGGAATGCTGCTGTAAGAACCACCCCGCAACTAACTACATCCCTTCTCAGAGCCGGAGTGCTGTCGGCACATGGGCGCGCAAGTCACAAGTAAGAAACTGCCTTGCTCATGTGACATGTGCGCGATATTGCAGGATCTGCGGAAAAAACATTTCTGAGCAGCGCTCGCTCCAGGTCCAAGATGCGGCCTGCCAGGCCACGTGCAAGAACAACCCAGCAACCCAGCATGTAGCTTGATCAAGCACCGGCACCTCATGGCATCCAACTGAGGACGTGCGCGCGTTAAAAAGATCTGTACTTCTTATCGTGTCAACAGATCGGAAAGAAACGAGTGTCATGCATGGCTGATCTGCAGTTACGACCCCCTCTGCAACCTGACCCTGTGTGCTACGGCAAAATGGCTGCAAACAAGCATCCGTTGCGCTCGGTTGCCCTTCTGAGCTAAACTTGGCAGCTGACACTGCAGGTTGCAACTCCCAGCTGAGCCTTTTGTCTTGGCTGCAGGTTCTGCTTGGGGTGCACAACGACTACACTACACAGACAAGCCCCACTGCGCCATATCCTCACGAAAGTGGGTCTCGTTCGGAACTCCATTGCTCCTGAATGCGTGCACCTTGGATGGAACAGACGGCTTGAATCCCAAAGGTTCTGAAATCAAGCAGCCGCCATCAACATGCTTCGGACGGTTGCAGCAGGCTCATCAACTGCACACGTGAGTTCCATGAAATTCTTGGTCTGCACCTGCTCTTCAGGACTGGAGCCCCTATGTCACCGTCTTGTAGCAAAAGTCAGAACGCTTGCAAGAGCTATGATGAAGAATGTTGTTGACAGTGATGGCAGCACAAGCTTGAGGCCTTTCTAGTACGCGCTCGAGCGCCAAGACTAGGGGAAACTCGCTGCAACAGCAGCACTAGGTCACACCACCACTTTCCATGCCTCTGCCAGGATGCCTGTATAAAAATTAAAGGAAACCAACACAAGCTCGTTTTTGCCACTCGCATGGCTGGATGCTGGATTTACACTCCTGGTGATATCGGACTAGCCACTCAGGGAAGACTGACACGAGAGTTTTAAGCTAAAGGTAAGATTTGAACACGGACATGTAGCATCTGCCAGCGACTCGTGTCACAGAACCACATGCTTCCAAGTACAATAATCACTCCACTGGCAACTCCAAAGCATGTCAAGCTTCGTAGTCATCGATGTGGTGGCGCGCAATGTACCAAGAGATTTTTGCCTTGGCTTAGGACATGCTCAACCGGATTGAAGTTCTACACAAGCTAAGTATAGCTAACCATCTTTTCAACAAATGCAATGCAGCTTAACGCGACGCAAGGCACCATTGCTGTCGACGTGAAGACGGCTTTGAGGCTGGACAAGATGGCTATTCGTCTTCGCAAGCGTTGGTTATCCGCCCAGAGAGCCAGGGCAGTTTCATTTGGTGCTGTGTGCGGCTTCACTACGGAAGGCTTGCAGTGCAGAAATCTCTCCCCATCTGGGAACATCTCTATGTCCAGGGAATTGTCATCCTGGTGATACTTGATGACAGAAGCTATCTCCCACCCCCGCGAGGTCTCCACTTTGATTCGATCGCCATCTACCAACTCGCTGTAGACACCTGGCGCATAGGCAACGCCTCCTAGCTGCGGCCGGATGTCTCCACGCTGTCTCTGCAGATTGGGCGTCGAGAAAATCTGGCATCGTTCTTTCCCTATCCTGCCCATGCCGACCCTGCTCTGTGGCCCTGTCAAGTTAGCCCAACCGTTGGGTGCACGTTTATCCGGAAAACCCAACCACATGAGGCCCAGCCCCCAAATGCCCAGGCCGGCATCCTGGGCAGAGGCACCTTCAGCCCGGCAAATCTACTGCGACATGCGATCTTCTAGATGCGCGGGCCCCGGCTGACTAAGATTTCAAGCGTTCTGCCTTAATATGTCCCATGGGGAAAGAATAGCGGCCGAAGAAAATACAAAACGCCAGTCGGAAACTTCACATACCACCAAACCTGACCACTCTGAATCCAACAGCGCAACATCGAGCAAATTGGCCTTGCTCGAATCGCGTCGCAGAATGATCTTCTATTAGCTTGAAACGAGGCCGCACGGACCGCAGTTCTTCACCTGCAAGGAGAAAAACGAACCGAGTTTTTGCCAATGACCGCACCGCAAGAAGTTTTTTCTCTTATAGCAGCGGTTGAATGACTCGGTCTCAGCACCATTCTATGCCCACCTATGTGGGCTTGTAGAGAACAAGTGCTAAAGTTTCTAAAGCGTCTAGATCCCGGCTATCAAGCCTATTTGTCATCGTCACACAACCATCGTCATCAGTCATCATCATCTTCATCATGACCATTGCATTTCCCTTCTGACTGCGGCCTTCTCCACTGAATGCCAGATCAACAGTGTCATTCACAGGGGATGTGCCCACAATCTTTGCTGGCCGCCAACCATTTTCCGTCCCGACTAGGATCGTGTCATTGTCCTGTACAGTTGCCTCAGCTGCCCTGCATGTTGGTACCATTTGAAGAAACAGCGGCTAGCATGATGGTACACAGAGCCAAGATTCGTATCGCCACGGGAACCGTCGTGCCAGCCCCCATCTTTGCCTGAAACGCAGAAGATTGCAGGCAAGCAACCATTCAACAGCATGCTCGTACGTTGTGCAGACGAGCAACCTGATGTGCTGACCCGCACGCGGGCTTGGTGGTGCAAACTCCAAGTCCAACATGCCCTGATGGAATCGGGGACATGACAATCATCTCTCTGCAAAGTTACACATCATGGTCCCAATACTGAAGCAGTGCGGCTCAGGAACAACAAGCGGATCCTGTCCAATCACTACACAGGGCTCCCAGGTCTTGCTTTCCCGGACATCACCAGATGCATTCACAATTACTTCGAGGAGATCTCCTCCCAAGGTGAAAGGTTTAAGCGTTCAGGAAGCTGCGGGTCTTCCCTGCTATCACTGTCCTTCCCCAACATCGTCGAACGACACTAATCGGCTGGCCAGCACATCCTCTAAACCTGCGGAGCCACTGCACGTTGCTGTTTTGACTCATGCATGTTACGGCACACTTGCAGGAGCCCAGTCCGGCCGTCTCGTGGCAGAAGCCTATGCGTCCGGCTGTCCTCTGAAAAAAGGATCCTCTTCTCCTGCACGCAGGCTGCTCAGAGCCTGAGGCATGATGCCGTGCCCGATTCGATCTTGCAACGCACCTCCGTAAATGGCAAGATGTCGGGAAACACATCGCTCTCGATGTCCTGGCAACAATGCGCGCTGTTCTGCAATCCCATATTCCCAGCTCAAGCCATGGGTCCGGAATCACATCCAGCCAGTCAGGCACGTTTGCCAAGACCTGAAGGATGGAGCGTGCGCTGCATTTCACATGTCGATCAACACCCCTGCCCTTCTGAAGCAACCCAACCTTACTCTAGACTGCGTGCTGATTTCACGCTGCTTTGGTGATCCGAGCTCTGCTCGTGGCCACAATTGGCCTGCAGTCCTCTCTGCCCTTCTAGGGATGTCTACTTGCCCGATTGCCAGGTTTTGCCTCTTCCAGATTCTGTAGCTATGAAGTGGCATCGCTGCAAAACATGGCGGTTGGGGAATCTTTTGTGCGATGGCACAACTGCTTCTGAAGCAGCTGGCCCGATCTGGATCTGGACGTGCAAGCGGAGGAGCAGTGACTTCGTCAGAACTCCTGGCGTATGTCGGATCACTTGTCCGGAAGCGCCCTGACCACCTCAAAGATTCGCATCATGGCATCGTGAAACCTTAGGAGGCAATGCTTTGCCACAGACTGTTCAGACATTCTAGCTGACCAAGCTTGCAAGTACTGGATCTCAAAGACAAGCAACTCTTCGGGTAAAGGCTGTCCCTGGACGTGCGTCACAACCCACTTCGGCTGGATCTTCGCCTGGTCCGCGTGTGAGTCCTGCAGTCCGACGAAACCACTGCAACCAAGCTTGGGCTAGGCAGTTGGATGCGGCTAGGGCGGAAAGGTCCTTCTTCACACCTTTAACTGTCATTGGGATCGACTTGCTGAAGTCCAAGCCCAGGGGCTTGGAGGGGAAGAAGATTTCCTGCGATTCAAGACGGAAGGCTCCGAAGTACATACTTCTGAGCAAGAAAGCGTGCTCATGGATGTGAGGGTCATGCTGTTGGACTGCCATGCCTGCTCCCTCAACCGAAAAGAAACTTAATTGAAGCCACCTCAGCAACCAGCACACCCATCTCAGTAAACACCACACCTCTCTCAGTGAACTTCGTCAACGATTTGGGACCACTATAGGTCAATGTATCTTGCACCACCCTATGTAGCCCCAAGAATGGTAACTACAGCACTTTGGGTTCTAAAGTGGTGCAAGATTTCCTCCATCCACTGTACGACTGACCATCAGCACATATTGATTCAGCATTCTGCAATTGTCGCGGCAGCTCAACCACTTTAGACAGCATTGGCTGCCTTGGTCGACTTGTCAGGCAGCTCAAAGGTGAACACAGCACCCTCAGTTCCAGGGAGATTTTAGCATGTCAGCACTCAACAAGGCTGAAGAACTGCGGGCAGCAAACATCTTCCGGCGACTCGTCTACCTGTGGCAGGCTTGGCTGTTCCGACTCTGGACTCATGACCATTGAAGCCGCATGCGTACCAACAGCACGAGAATTTTGTCTGTCCGAGATGTTCGTCAGCATCAACAGAACTGCGAAAATCTTAAGGTGCTGACAGCCGTCGCGGCAGCAGCTACAGCATCAGATGATGTGGTCAGCGCGACACCGCCGACGTATTCTACGGCCTAGGCAGTATCATTCAGGCAGCGGGCACAACTGCCGTATCCAGGTCCGAGGATGACTTTAGCCACCCAAGGAGTTCAGCTAAGCAACTTTGTCGTTCCCTTCATTCGCACAGCATGTGCAGAACATGACTGCGCTGGATGGGATGTCACGGCTTTTCAGACTTGAGCCCGAACCTAGCCGTGCAGAACGTGAGCCAGACCGCCAAAGCACGCAAGGCCAATCATTTGTTGAATCTTGCTGATTTGGGCACAGTAGGTTGCAACTTGGACTGAGGTTGCAACTTGGACAACCTGCAGCAATCCAAAGGCCTGAACACGCTCAGTGAAAACAACCTCTTGCCGCCAAGAACTCATCGACGAACAAGCTACCAAAATTCTTCCATTATAACCCCTATATATACCCCATTATACTATAGTAGTTTCCATTTTCTTTTCCATTATCCCAATAATATACCCCCAATATACTCTGTGTTCACAGGCAGCCGCTTAAGGCAAAGGCGGCCACAGCCGAAGAGCTCGGAGACAATTTGAATTTCACAGGCATGACCGGAAAACTGCCCTTACTTGAGCCATCTCCGTACCCTCGCCTCCTGAACCTCCTGAACACTAAGCTCGTCCAAAAACAGAGCTGGCAGGAAGCGCTTTTTCGCCATCTGCCAGTGACAGCTGTCACTCTCAGCATGAGCAGTGCTCATGCTACCTCACGCTGGCCAGCTGCGGCAAACAGTCACTTTAATAAAGGGATGCATCAAAGCTTGGATAAGAAAGATGCGTGCTGGCAGGCGACAGGACACGCCACTGAATCTTTGTACATGCAGCTCGAAGCAATGCCAATGCTGCTGGCTTGAAAACTGAATGCTAGGCGCGTTGTATACACAAATGTGAATGAAAGCCTTGTGCTTCTGGAAGCAGCCAGCCAATGGACTACTCTCAGAGGTAGACTGGTATTGGCTCAGGCAGAACCGGAACGTCCGCTCCGACTACGTCGGTTTCCTTGGCAGATATCAACCTTTTCTATGCCATGCTACACCCTAGAGGTACTGGAGAAATCTGATCAAGCGACGGCAAGCTCCTGATCAGAGTGTGCCTTCAACTTCTCCTGGAGTTTTGCACGACTTTCTTCCAGCCATCCTCAGCTGCCAAATATATCAAACGAACCAGTGACAGTGAAGGAGTCCACTGCTCTTTAAATAAGCACAGGGACATGCAACCTAGAAGCTCATGTGCGCTTGTAGCGCCTCCTGACGTGAGCTCTCGCCCCGCATTGCATCAACCCGCTGCTCAGTGCCAGTCTCAGCTACCTTTGTCATGGTAAGGGGACACCCATATTGGCCGCGCACATTACGTTTACACAGCAAGTGCATGCACTTGACCGTACATGATGCACCCTACCGACTCTTTTTGTGTCCTGAACTGCTCTTCAGGCTTTTCGAGCAATGACAAGGATGTCGCGATTGAGGTATATGTTGCCTTGCTCTGACTTTGATATGCTAACCAGGCTGAAGCCCGTGCGTCTCAACAAGCACCGAACAATATCTGGAGACACAAAGTAGAAGCCACCCACGCTGTAGTGCTGTTGCTTGGCAAACCTTCGCCAGCCATCAGGTGCCAGCAGGTTAGCAAAAGACACAAAGCAAAGCCCGCTCGGCCGTAATATGGAATGCATGCACAGCAGGGATTGCCGCATCTGGTGCAAATCCATGTGAACAAAAACATCAAATGAGTAGACGAAATCGAAGGAGCAGTTATACTTCTGGGGGTACGCAGCATCCCCAGATATAAGTTGGAAGTCCACATGCTTTTGCCCAAGCTCGCCCACTATTCGGCTTTTGGCACGGGCGAGCATGCCCTCGCTGACGTCAAAGCAAACCAGGCGTTGAACTTTGGGCGCCACTTTTGCAGCAATCCGGCCGCCACCGCTTCCAACCTCTGCAACTGTCAGGCTTCCGTCCTGGAGATGCGGGTACAGCCAGTAGCTCAAAACGGCATCCAAGGACTCGATATCAGACCATTCATCCCCCAAGAACTGTAACTCTTCAGCTTGTCGAGAAACGTGGCCTGACATTCGCTGCACCCAATCCACATTTGAACTCCAAGACTGGGCATAGGCATCCCAAAGTTTTCGGTTGGTCTCATGGTTCGGCGTGTCAGTATAAACCGCACATTTCTGTAAGCCCTTCAAAAGCTCCAGGACCATGGGGTTCTGCTTCTCCGCAGACTGTGCAACAAGGACGGCTTCCGCATCCAGCAAACCACTTTCAGCGCTCTGGCCGGGATCTGTTGTGGCTTCAGCTGTTTGCTCCTCTGCTCCAGGCTCTACTTCCTGCTCCCTCAATGCATCGCGCGCATCGCGCTCCTGCAACATACCCAGCAGCCTGGCAGCGTAGTCTTCTGCCGACTCATGCTCGTGACGGCTGTACTCCATCTGCCGCTACGATGCGGCTGAACAACGATGTACTGTAACTGTGTATGCCAACACTGACTGCGAGGCTCAATCAAATGCGCTTGCTACCCTAGGCTTCAACTGGGCCAACACTGCCGCTGCTCTACACACAGGCTACGCTTGCTTTGGCAGACATGCATTCTTCAGTCACTTGAGCTCACAACTACCCCGCAGAAAAGCTTGCAGACGCTTCAGATACGGTCAAAACATCACCGGGTATCATGCAACTATCAGGGATAGCAAGACCGTGCCTCCTCCTGCACATGCAGAACTCGAGTGGGCTCCTGCGCTGCAAGATGAGGAAACTCTGCTGTTGTTGGCCAGTCTAGTCTTCCCTTTGGGAAGCAAAGTTTTCCGGCCGTCTTCGGCTCTCAGTCTTGCTGGCATCTTCACCAAACAGGAAATGTGGATTGGCAACAGTCACTGCGGTCAGCTAGTTGTGGGCTTCCACCCAGGTGGCAATTTCCTCAAAAGTCCTATGACACTCAGGCTCTGTCAAAGGACAGCCTGCCAAATGCAAGATGAAGTCCCCGGGCTTCCACGCAGAAGCACCCCACTGCAAAGCAGAGCCTTCACCGTAAAGATTCATGGCCTGCAAGCGGCGTTTTTCCAACACAGTGTGTTGAATGCAGAACACTACATGTTTATGGCCCATCAGAAAGCAGCTTAGCCAGGCGCGTGCTGAGGCACGATGCCGAAGTGGGGTGCCCATTGGAAGTCTTTGACCTCGCCGCCCTCACACATCTCCTCCGCCAAAAGATCAGAGTCCCTGACCATTGTCTCAAGAAGCATGGTCTGGTCCCAGACGAAGCGCCAGTCGCTCGAAAGGACTCTCTCCAAAAAATGCAGCCCAGGGCGGTCCGTGCCCCCCTTGACGAGGAAGGTCCCGGAGTTGATGCCTGACACCTCTTCGGCAACGACGAAATGTTTTTCGGAGAGCTGATAGGTCTGCAGAAGCGACTCCACGGAGATGGATCGGTTGGCGACCAAGGCGTCGCAGTCAAGCCACAAGAACCAGTCCGGAGGGTCCTCGCTTCTCAACACGTCAATGGCAATTTGAAGCTTTCCAAACTGGGGCTCCTGTCGTCAAACTCATGCACATGGGCATGAAGCTGCTAGAAGCATGCGTGCCAGAACCACAGCAAAGACCTCTAGATGGAGGCAACGAAGACGTGATTTTGGAGTTGAAGGTAATGACGGCGATGATGGCGATGACATGTGATGATGAATCTCCTGGCACAATGGCTGTGCTAATGTTGCGAGTGATGATTGCGTAGAGTATTTCAGGGGCAGTGTTGATGATGTTGATGTTCGTGATGTCGATGGCTATGGTGATGATGAAAATGCTGGGTATCTGACAACAGTGTCCTGAATTTAGTAATTGCGCTCAAGAATCAAGTCCCCAGGAATCATGACTCAAGAATAAAGAAAGAATCTTGCGATCGGCCGTGCCGATCAGCATTACAGAAACAGCAGTAAAGAAGCCAATACCAGCTATTCCTTATCAGTTGTGCAGCATGCAAGGCATCAAGAACTCTCCAAACTGAGTCTCCTGATCTGCCAAAGGCGTTTGCTGGTGAAGCGTGTACTCGTAGCCCCACTTTTCTGCGTAGGACTTATGGTTCCGCTCAGTTATACTGAACGTCACGTTCTCGAGGTTTCCTCCAGCAAAGCCCCCGTCACAAAGGGAGTGTACAACCACGCGGTTCTGACCTTGCGGGAGAACCATCCAATCCCTCTTGTCCAAGCCATACTGCGCATGCAGTTCACGGAGTTTGGCTGCGTATTTCGTAGAAAGAGTGCTCCTGCCCCGCAGCAAAAGCAAAGACGCCTGCTTGTCTGAGACTGTACACTGCTGATGCTCAACACTACATAGTGCCGCAGAGTCTCTGCGCGTCTTTCACGGCTCTTGTTTCATCAGGCCTTTCACGGATGCACAAAAGTACCGTCCTTCTGTCTGTTCACAGCCATGGAGAAGATAGCGTTGGCAGGTGCCAGGACAATTAGGTGAGACACCGAAACAATGCCCGCGACAGCGCAATGGTTCGGATAGGGGCTCCGAGCTGCAGTAAAGCCCGGGCCCGGAGGGGCTGCCCGGCCTCCACAGCCTAAGCTTCAGGAAGGACCTTTCCGGCAAAGTAGTGGCCAGGATCAAAATGTGCCTTCATGCCTGAAAGCTGCTAACTCACTTGCCCACTCGAAGTAGCTAGCGGTCAAGGTTGGGCAGCTGTTTGCCACCTGCCTGAGGGCTCTTGCCGAATGCACATAGTGTCAGCTACGTACCTGACAGCGATAAATCAGAACCAGGCAGCGGGAAGGGGAGACCAGCATCTCCACTAACCACTTTGCGAAACAGGGCCAGCTGCCAGCAAAGTGCTTTAGCAGAGCCATCTGGCGTTGCTTCCTGCCGCAGGTGCTGCCTCAGAAAGGTTTCTTCAAAGTTGCTAGGCCTCGGCCACTGAGCCACTGGGTCTTAGCTTCACTAAGCCTCGCTAAGGCGCTCGATGAGGAGGGCTGCTTTGTGAAGTTGGTGCCAAAAGGTGCTGAAGACTTCCGGGAGCTCCGATTTCAGATACGGACAGAACCTTTCCAAATCTGAATCCACCGCGTCCAGCTCTGACTCTCCGAGGCTTCGCTGCAGCAACCAAAATAAAACAGCTCGTAGTTGCAGAGCCTGAAGACCCTGCATGCATCTTCAGCCACAATACAGGCAAGGGCGGGCAACTGCACAGCTTCAACAATTTGAGCCAGAAACTTCTCGTCTCAGCGGATATCTAACCCTGTACCTTCCAGCGCCTACAATGTGTGCCAAATGCAATTGCATTCACCCTGCCAAGGATGCCGAACGCGCTCAAAATCATTGGACTGAAACACGTCTGCGACAACTTGCTGAAGAGGGTCATGTGGGCCACGTCCTTCTATGACGACTGGTTGTCTTCTAGCCATGAGCTGGAGCGGCTGTTGTCAAAGGTCATACCTCGAGAGGCCTTTCGCGCGCACTGCATTCCGCAAGAGGCCAAGGCCAGGAGTGTGAGGGTGGGTTAGAGTCTAGCCCAGTCCAGGAGGGTTGCCGTTATGTCGCCGGAATGCGGCCACCGGTGGTCCGGTCCTGGCTGCTGTCCGAGGCAGAGTAGGACTCAGTGGCCTCCCACGCTTGCAGTCGCCCCACGATTCCAGAAATCCAACTATGCACCTGTTAGCGACATGGCCTCGCTGTCACTGTCGCTGTCTGAGGTGCCGTTCTCACCTGCACAGGCAAGTTGCTTGGCAGAGAAACACTATGCCAACCCGGCATGTGCTCATAGCCTCGGCTCCTGCTCCGACTGGAGCTACCTCAAGCTTCGAGCATGCAAATTTCACCCCTTGGCAAGAACATGACGAAGAGTTGAAGGTGTTGGACTTACCAGCAGAGAAAGCCCCCTTTGCATACCCCTATAACCAGAAATGTCTCAGGAATATCTGTCTCGGGCTAGGACCGCGAGTTGCACGCCCCATGACCTGCCTGCAAAGCCCAGTAGCTCGGCAACGCTAAGCAGCGTGGCTTCTGACCCGGCTCGTGGGCCCCGACTGCAAGCGAAAGAGGAAGGGTGCCTTGCCGAGTTGCCCACAAGCGAGGAAGCCTTCTTGATGCATCTCCTCCATCATCCCCTGCCTCATCAGCAAAGATGACGGCCTGGGCAATGTCAGCTGCCTCAGGTAACGCTAAGCCTCTTGCAACAACTCTTCCTGGATTTGCATTTGAACTTGGCAGTGCGCCACGATGATTTGCTTGCGCTCCTCAACCTGGCATGCTCAACCGAACAACACGAGAGAACATCAAGTACTTTCTTGCGACCTTCGCCCGGGAACGCTCAAGCTTCAATCTGTCTTCCCACTCCTCCAGCGATTTGGACCGTGGCTGCGCATGAAGCTGTGCAGGTGCTGTTTGGGTTCAACGTGCAGTCCTGGAACCGCTCCTCGTTAAATGTCTGCGCAATTGCAGTCTGCTCCTGGCACCTGGGCAGCAGAGCTTTGATTTGGCTTGGGGTAGATGTTCAGACTTTGTTATATGCTTCGTTCTCTGTGTCTTGCTTCCTTTTTTGTGCAGGCATACTGCAAGATCTCGTGGTGGTCATAGCAACCACAAATGCAGCAAGGCTTCGACATGAGCGGATCGCTAACCTGCTGAAGGTGACGAGCCTGCCACCCGGCTTCAGGCTCAGGGCATGATAAGAAACACACCCAAAGCCAAACTGGCTCCACGACAACTGTTACAGAGGAATACAAGCAGCGAAGCATTCCCGCGAGTTTGAGTCTAACGGTTGATAAGATATTGTCAAATCCATAAGGGTCGAGGATCCAACCTCTGCCCTCGCCAAGATATGTTTTGCCACGGGCCTGGTCGCAGTGCAAAATACTCATTTCCGGCCGCGATCTCAAGCTGAGGCTGCGGCACATCCGCCGGTCGTCCTTTGCGAATGGCTGGCGGGGACTCTAAAGACATGCCATGGATGTGCAGTCATGAGCTGTCGCTCCGTAAGCTGACTGGAGGTGGCGGTGGCGATAGAGGCGGCGGGGGCGGGGCCAGGGCGGGGGCGGGGCGGGGCGGGGAGGCGATAGCGGTGACAGTAGCCCTGACTGTGGCGATGTGGTGGTGACCGTGGCGGCGGGAGGCGGGCAGTCGGCGGTGGCGGAGGCAGTGGCGCTGGCGGCGCCGGTGCCCGCTGGCGATGGAATTCTACTGCACAGTAAGTTTGCAGCAGAGAGGTCTGACAACTATTTTGGCGGAAAGCGAACGCAGATGATCAGATAGCATGCTGAAACAGCTGAGTAAGCTAGAAGCACCCTCCAGGGTGGGAGGGCAGGGCGAAACGAGTTGCAATGCTCGGCTTGTTTCTGCAACATGAAGAAAAGCATCATTTTAGCAGCTTGAATCTGTAGTGGATAGGGAACAACACAAGTGTCAAGAGCACAAAGGCTAAAACATGTGAATGAACACAAAAAAAAGGTAGCAGTAGCACAAGTATTAGTGGTAACACTCGTAATATTTAATAGTAGTCGTGCTGAGTACTGGTTGTAGTAGTCGTCGTCATGGTGTTCATAGTAGCATCAGTACTAGTTGTTGTCGTAGTGCGAGCAGCAGCTGTATGGGTGGGTCCCTTCCCAAAAGATTTGCTCATGGCATGGACTTACCTTTCCATGAGCCCGTCCCTTTACTACCCTGCATTTTTGTCCCACAGCATGCCCATAGTATGGGCTTAGTATTATATGAGTGGGTCCCTTCACTACCGTCAAATGTTTGTTCATAGTATGGCTTAATATCACATCGGTGGGTCCGTCTACTATCCTCAAAGATTTTTATCATAGGATGCTCAGAGTATGATCATACAATGTGCAGGGTTATCACACATCAGACAACGAGAGTATGCATCTCCCCATGTAGACGTTGCATCAGGGAAAACATACATCATTGGAGAAAACATACATCACGGCATGCAAATCCAAAAGGAGACGCTGTGTTTTGAAAAGCCAGACAGAAGGTAAAAAAATACCGCTTATGTGGCAGACGCCAACCTTTGCAATACGTTTTACATCCATTTTAGCCGCCCTACATCAGCAAATCCCCAGCAAGACGCTGTGTTTACAAGAACCGGAAAGAGTGCGCAGACATGTCGCCTACTAGGAGATGTTGCATCAGGATATCGAGGGAAATCCCGTCTGTACTCGGGGATTCTAGAACAGGAGCCCGCAGAAATCTTGATTTCGCTGAAAACCTGTATGCCCTGGAGGGATAGCAATGCTGATAGACCCCAGGAAGTCACGCTAAAAATGCCAGATTGCACGTAGACGCTGTCGTAAACAACATTTTCTCCCTTCTGCTGTTAAGAATGGGCCTAGCCCTGGACATGGCTTCCTCAAGTAGACGCTCAATCGATGCATAAAAGCGGGCCTATGTAAGATAAGCCTACGGGACCAAGTACTTGAAGTAGTAGTAGGAGAAGCAGCAGCAGCAGCAGCAGCAGCAGCAGCAGCAGTAGCAGTGCTTTGTGCAAAGCTGCTTTGCTTTGCAGCACTTAGCTTCGGGCCGATGATCTGCACCAGGGAGCACTCCATGGCAGGCAGCGGAGACATGGATGCAACAAATGATTTCTCAACTTTTCACTCAGACTACAGATGGCAGCCTTCGCAACATGCAATCCGCTGCACTCTGTCCGGGACAGTGCTGTTGCCATGGAAAGCATGAATAACTCCCAAAATTCATGGTGCGCACACTTCTAGAATGGTTCACCAGCATCAGCATGGCTTCACAACGTCTGTCTGGTGCAACGCTCCCTGCCCGCCGCACTCAGCCGAGTTGTTTTCAGCTGCAGTCAGGCTTCTCGAGGTCGCTTCCGCGGCATCTCCTGCACTAAAGCTCTGGACCTTTGTCCTAGACCAACTGACCAGCGACTGGTGTCTATGCATCTGCATTGCAACATCCAGACGTGTCCCATTGCTTCCCTGTCCTCTTCTTGCTGAGAATCCTTGCAGCACTGAGCAAACGATGCACATTCAGCTGCAGATGAAATGCTAGTACCTTAGGTCCACTTGTCGTTCGAGCCTTGCCTTGTAACATGTCCAAAACGACACTCTGCGTGTGCGATGCTAGGGCCATGTTAGGTGCTGGGTGGGCTTTCAGTTCTGAGCGATCAATGAGCTGTCAAAATTCTGCTTACTAACGGAAGGTCTGGCGGTTGCACAGCCCCGTCTCCTGGAGATGTTGCTCGAAATGGCTAGCCTGCAGAACAAACGACGGGCTTGACAGTTCTTGCACGGTTGAAAGCACTGGGCCTGCTCCAGCACTGCCAGGTTTGGATCTGCTCCTTCCGTCTGTGCCTGGTAGCCATAACATTATGGCATCATGGCCATCTGCATGATGCACCAGTCTCACAAGACACCGTCGCAGCCGACTCCAGCATCTTGACGGAAATGCGCAGAGGGAGCCGCGACAGCACTTGAAGCGTGGTATCCTTTCGATTCAGTGAGAACCCTTTAGATTGTGGCACCGCGAATACCATCCTAGGACAAAGTTCTATCAATGTGAGGGATCAATACAAGTGGCATAGCTCAACATAGGCAAGGGGTTCCTTCTCAATTTGTTTCAGGGTTTGGGATTAAGGTCTGTATTGGGAGGCTGCAAAACTGCATTTTGCTTTGTGGGGTACCCTTAATTTGAGGGCCTCAGGGATGAAAGATCTGCAAAATGTGCGGCCGGGGGGGGTTGGAGGCTACATAATCACATTTGGCTTCGTGGAGCCCGCTTTGGGGGAAATGCATTTCTGGGGCCTAGCAAAACGCACTTGGCTTTGTGGAGCCGCTTATTTTGAGGGCCTTCGGGGATTGACAAAGGAACTGCAAAATGCGGTTTTGGGGGGCTGGAAAAATGCATTTGGCTTTGCGGGCCCCTTAAAAAGCGGTTTTGGGGGCTGCAAAACCGGGTTTGGATTTGTAGGGTCCCTTAATTTGAGGGCCTTGGGGGATGGATAAGGACCGGCAGACATGCTTTCTGGGGGGCTGAAAAAATGCATTTGGTTTTGCGGGGCCTCTCAATTTGAGGGCGCTGGGCGATGGATCAAAGACCTGGCACAATGCGTTTTTGGAGGCTGGACATGTTTGAGTTTCTGGAGCTCCCATGCCTTTGTGATAAGCTTTCAGAGTCCTGTTTGACAAGCTTGCGGTGTCTCTTGTCATGAGACCGTGGCACCTCACATTTGGTATAGTACCAACTGCCTGCCGCTCGGGCCTCCGTCACCTTCCCCACGCCAGGGTTTCTGCAAGGTTGTTCAATGAATCATTTGTAAAAAACGAGTTAGAGGAAAACCATAGAAGCGAGGTCTTAGAACGACCCCAGTCATTTTTCTGGGATGCCGTCACATCGCCCATCGTCTTCAGTTACTTGTGCATTAACTCGTGCTTGGGAATCTTATGCACCCACATATCCTCATATATCACACCTAAAACTTTTCTGCTGGCTCCCGCAGTTGGGTCCTAATCTCTCACAAATGGCAAGCACAATGTCATACGGGCTTCCATGGATGGAAGCATTTTCACATCACCCGTGCTGATTGTGATCTTGTTACGGGTCTTCTTTATAAGCTCCCTGATTAGGGTGTGTGGGTGTGGGTGTGCGCCATTCAACAATAATCATTAACCTCGGCAAGCGCTAAGTACGCACTTGTAAGGGCTATGATCAAATTCTGGAGCTTCTGCCCATCACCCCCCAGTATGGCAAAAAAATGTCTGCAGATACAGCCTCATTTCCCAATGCTCTGTGCAAACTGTGTTAAGGACAGCGAACAAAGAACATATGATTTCCCCGCACTCATGCATACATAAATCGGATCATCATAGGGTTGTGGCTTACGATGTTCCTTGCTATTCTCTCCGTGCCCCAATCGTTTTCTGTGGGTCAGATCTCGCTCGTTCATCAGCTCATTATGTTTGGGCTTCCACTGTTCAATCGGTTGCACTATGTCTTTGCTCCTCTTCGCATCTCCGTCCGCCAAGTTCCATTCTGATCATGACGGCACCCCCGGACTCCTACAAGTATATGATTTCCGTTGGTATGGTGTGGCGCGTGTGTATTTTGAAGCTCTGGTGTTGTAGTGGCAGTTCCTTTTGTATATGTAGAACATATTTGTCCATGTGCTGTCTATGAAAAATTATTTCTCCATTGGGGTTCCAAAAGATCGTCAACATGCATGCTTGAGATTCTGTTCCCTTTCCGCCAATCTTGTTTTGATAGCACAAGGCTTCTCTCAAGGTATCGAGCGGTTACCCTAATCGACTTTGTTTGCTTTTTATCCAGCTGGTTCGTCTGGGGTGTCTGTTTTCCATAGCTTGGCAGCGATCTTCCTGCAATGCAACCCTAGACTCTGGATTCTCTAGATCGTTGCTGATAGCATAATGGAGATGCCTAGGGCATGTTAGTGTTGCTGTGGGTTGGAGTCTTAAGGTGGGGGGCGGTGCCACAAAGATAGCCAAAGATGGGCAAGGCTTCAGCCGCTGCATGCAACAACAATCAACCCTCCTCCAAAGACAGCCCAAGCTCTGTCGCCTTCTGCCTGCAACGATCGCGCTCGCACTGCTTCAAGCAGGTCCAGGATTCACAAGGTTCACAGGAGTCACATCATCATGACACAGCCGTTGCTAGCAACTGACATCTCGGGACTTCACCTTGTCTGGTTGCCAGTGAAGTTCATTCCATTGGAAGCACCTTTCTGTGCTAACCCTGTGCTTGTGGGCCTTTCAAAGCAAGTCTGAGTCTCGCGCCGTCCCGCAAAATCTTTGCAACAGCGGCCTCAGTAAACTCAGTAAACTCAGTAAACGCACAATGGCACTTGCAAAACGTTCGTCCAAGGCCTGTAGATAGTTGTTGGGACTGGAGATGTTCACCTGGTGCGAAGCCCTCCGCACGCAGCTATCAGCTGCTGGCTACGCAGCTCTGCTGACCAAGCTCTCGACTCCACCCTTTCCTGTGCCTGACCACATCACGTGCGCATTGTACAAGGACACTTTGCGCTTGTTGTCTCGAGGCACTGCCTTTGGAATACAATGCGCCCAGGAGGTCCATGGCCTGCTCCTGGCAGTTCTGACCAGAACGTTGAGGCAGCGAGTTATTGCACCCAGGCTTGTCCTGTGAGACACACCGCAACGCCAATAATGAGTTGGCATCCAGGTTTTGGCCTTGCCACAAGTCCTGCTTTCCATGTTGCATTTTCCAAAGCACATCGATGCGAACGTGACAGTAGAACAGTCCCGCTGGTTGAGGTCAAGCACTGCTCTTTCAACCATGCTAACATCTGGAGGCACCTGCCATGCAACACAGACAGCATCTGCGCTGGTCAGCTTGTGAGAATGTGTGCGATCGCGACACCTGAGGAGTAAAGATAAGAAACCAGGCTCTGTTTTTTGCTCCGTGGCCCGCTTGTGGATGTCCGCTTCCAAGGAGGATTTGGGCCAACAAACATGGGAAACTCATATGTTTCTGGCACCCACTTTTTGAGGGGATGCGTTATATCTTCAACAGGCGAACTATTTTTCGAACTTGGCATCAATCCTCCCAGAAAGCAAGATCTGTTAAAGCTCCAAAGGGCGAAGCAGTCTTCGCACGCACCGCGGTACGGCTTGTCCGAACTTCTTCCTCATTCTAAAGCCACATCCGCAGCGACAAACAATAGGAGCCGGCGAAGTGGAGAGCGTGATGATCATGATGATGATGATGATGATGGGGTGATGATGATCGTGATGGTAATGGTAATGGTGATTGTGATGGTGAAGGTGAAGGTGAAGGTGAAGGTGAAGGTGAAGGTGAAGGTGAAGGTGAAGGTGGTGGTGCTGATGGTGCTGGTGGTGCTGGCGGTGCTGGCAGTGCTGGTGGCGGCGGCGGCGGCGGCGGCGGCGGCGGCGGCGGTGGTGGTGGCGGTGGTGGTGGTGGTGAGGTGGTGCCGGCAGAGTGTGCCAAGTAGTCAGCTAAGAGGACAGAAGCTACGTGCAATCATGCTACGTGAAAGCCGTGGCAGGAAAAAGCCTCAGAAGAAGCCATGCCACTAGCTCCAGATCGGCCTGCAGGTTGCAAAATCAGAGCAGACTGGCTGTAATCGAGCAAACAAGCAGAAGATTTGGGACATGTCAAAAGTCAGGCTGCCGGTCGCTTTGTTTTCCACCACACGCCGTATGCATCCCACCACCAGGTGAGTTCGAGTCCGCCTCAAGCCAGGCTGCCAATTCAGGAACTCCTCGCAGATCCGCCTCAAGTCCTGCCTCAGGGTCAGACCCCTTCCTTCCAAGGGTTGAATAGGGTTAAACAAAGATCGGGCATGAGATCCGGACAATCCGTACTGAATTGTGCGAAGCAACGCCCTCTAAAGAAGCTTTCATGTACTCAGCAAATGCAGTCCACTCTTGAGGCGTTACGTGGTAGTCGATGCTTCCTCAGCTACATACGCATGATGCTGTCAGTGTCGGGTGGTGTCACGGCAGTCTCAGCACTTCTGCAGCCAAAAAACTCCATCGCATCTCATCCGCTTGCCAAGCCAAATGCTGGATCTTCTCTGGGAGCTCAGGCGACTCCTGGCTCCTTTGTTCCGCTGCCACTTTTTGAGATACGGACATCCAGTCCAGCACGCCACATGGCCCGAAGTCGCCAAGCTCCACAATGAGCGATCTCCACCCAGGAGCAGCGCAGACATACCACAAGAAAGTAGGGGCCCCTGGCTTCAGTACGTTGTCAGCAATCAGAACCGCCTTGGGGTGAAGTGCACCCATCTCCTCAAGCTTCTCCAAATCTTCTCGGAAGCGCGACCCGCGCTGGTCGAAGAAGACTAAGTCAAACGATGATGATCCACACAGCCTGTCCAGTCTCACCTCGCTGTGTCCCAGCTGAATCTGCACCACAGCCTCCAGGCCAGCATGCGCCACCATTTGCCGCGCTATCAAGGCAAGGACCGGATCCATTTCCAGACTGACGACTTGGCCACCCCATCTCTGAACGGCAGCTCCGAGCCGAATAGCCGAGAACCCCACGTAGGACCCAACCTCCAGGACTGACTTTGGCTTCAGAACGTCCACCACTTTCTCCAAGACGGCTGCCTTGTCGCCCCCAGCAACTTTTAGCCAAAGCTTTCTTACCCTGCAGAAGTCTTCCACTGCTGAAAGGACTCCTTGAGCATGGCCTTTGGCCGCAAAGCGCTGCACGTAGCCCAACAGCTCCCCCTCACGTGCTGCCCGCAAGGGCCAGCGGTGAGGGCTCTCCTTTCTGTCTAAGATGTGGGCCCAGACGCGGCCTTCACGCTCGCCATCCTGGAGGTCCACCGCCCCAACTAGCAAAATGCTCGCCAAGTCCTGAGGGGTGAAACATTACTCCGTTCCCCCATCTGGCTCGCAAGGTTCCTCTGCCCTCCCTTTCATTTAGAAAAGCTTCGGCTGTGAGCTCTGCTACCGCCTTCAGCGCGTGGTCTAAGAGGCTACGAAAAGCAGCATCCATCCGTAGCCGCAGCAGTCCGCGAGCAAGCATTGCAAGGCCACGGACGTCAATTGTGGTGTGGGGGTGGCAGGTCAATCCCTGAATTGCACTGACTATGGCCTCATGAAGCTTACCGGAAGTGGACGGTGAGAGCTGCACATGGCTCAGGCCCCAGACGAGGTGTCCGACCTCGCTGATGGCAAGCTTCTGGTCCTGTGGAAAGTGGGAGATGCTTCCTGCCAAGGCCTCGAGATGACCGACTGCACGGAGGGTTCCCAATGACCATGCAGTTATGGAAAGCTCCTGGGCAGACATCTCCACGTTGCAGGAGACGGCAGCAGCATACATCCCAGTCCGGTTCGGACTACTGGACGGGTACGCCAGGGTGGCAAAGCCCCACAGAACATTCGCCCACGCTCTTGCAGTCATTTCCTTCGGGACACCACAGCAGGCATGCAACTCAAGCATTCCAATAGGCAGTTGCCAAGATATGCCAAGATGCCGTAATTCTGCTGGCAATCCCGCCCTCAAGCGCGGACAGCAACTTCGGGTCTCTGTAGCCTCCAGAGCGCTTGTTGTGAACAGATGCCCCGCCCGCTGCCGCACAAGCCCAAACGATCGCGGCCAGCTGCTGAGGGGACAGTTCTGGGACACGGCTCTGCGCAGCACCTCCAAGAGCCAGGAAAACGGAAAACATACGCCTACTTGGGCAAGGCGAGCAAGGCGAGCAAGGCGAGCTGGGCCCAAGCCTGGCCGCGGACCAAAGGAGATTGGCAAGCTGCTGGCCACTCAAGGACTGTGGCATATTCTGGGCGCTCACAAAGAGCCTTTCCACACAAGGCCAAATACCCCCATCAGCGCGCATATGCGTTGCAGAAGCGAAAGCCCAAAGAGTGTTCGAGAGCTCCTGCGGCCCAAAAAGCTCCACGGTTTCAGCAGCACGACTGGCAAGATGTTGAAGCAAGGGTCCATCTAAGTGGCTCAGCTTTGCAAAGCTCCAAGCTAGGTTGGACACATGCCGGCTGTCGCATTTTGGAAGCTCCTTGACCGCAGCGTGCTTCAGAGCCACTAGAACATCCGTCTGGACTCTCAAGTGTGCCATCGACCAGACCACCTGGGAGATCTCCAAGACTTGCACTTGCGATTGGTGAGATGCCATCCTCCGTCTCACTGCCTCCAAGATGTATTGAAGTGCCCCCCTGGCCATGGGAGAGTCAACTAGCTCCACTGCGGACCATGCAAGTCGCCCGAGATCCGCGGCAGACTGTTCCGGAACTTTGGCCATGGCAGCTTCAAAAGCTGCTCTTGATCGTGTTGAAGTGGCGGCCAGTGACCAGCAAACCTGGGATCCACAGCACGCAAGAATTGTTGACATAATGCCTGGCCTCTGACATCGCAGAAGCACTAGCAATGTTACAAGCCAGGGAACTGCCACCAGGCTTTGTGGCTCCAGCTCCACACTGCGAGCAGCTAGCAGGGAGGACACCTTCAGCCATTCCGGATCCCGGGCCGTGTCCCTCCGCCCCGTATAGCGATGCCAGCGGGCCACTGTGTGGGCTGCATGTAAAAGCCGCTCTGAGGAGACATTTGCCAAGGAGGAGCTTTTCTTCCCCAGCTCCAGCTCCAATACCTGCGCATACCCAGCACAGCAGGCAAAACATCCGAACAGCTCTGAGTGCTCTGAGCACTCAAGAAGAGCTGTCCACAAGGCCTGGGCCACCCTGCTGCAGTGTTTCCAGCTGGCTGCGACCCTTCCGCCATCCATGCCATGCTTCTGGACCAGCAATCTGATTCCGTCTACAGACGGTTCAAGATTCAAAAAACGATGGAAACAAAGATGCGAGTAAGAAGCTGAGCACCTCGGGCTGTTACGACCAAGATTACCACAAGTAGCAGAAGCTATCATGCAAGCGCCTGCCTTCCCAGTCTGAAGCTGGCTTATTTCAATCTGCGAATCCACGGAGACGAGATCATCTGAGATCTACATGGGACAGAACTGTTAAGCTGTTATCGTGTTGTGTGCAGGCGTCCGGAAACTGGAAAAATCCTGCGGTGAGCAGTTTTCAAGCAGCTGATCCCTTGCTGGCATTGGTAGCAGCCATGCCCTGAAAGACCTGGAAATTGTTGGCCATCGCGTCCTTTGTTCCCTCACACGCACTTGCTTCGACCCGTCAGTCTTGCTCTTGTTCAATTCAGGAGTCCTCGTCCTCGCCACACAACTCATCGAGTTCACGCGCACCGCCGACACCCTGATGAGAGACGACACGGCAGCCGTGGCTGAAGGCGTTGATCGAGCAGGGCTGGAAACCGAAACTCGCCCGGCCAATAGAGAGATTGGCCCCGATGTTGTAACACAGGTGTTCAGAGGCTAAGAGACATGTTCGCCTTGAGCTCCTCAAGTGACAACCATGGTCGTTAGCAGCCTCTTGCCCTTGAGTTAGCTGTTCAAAACCCAGCTCCTCGACCCGGCTGAGCATGGCCTCGCGCTCTCTCTCTCGGTTGCCCTCGGTGCTAGTGTAGCCCACGGGGTAGTCTAGTTTGCCGGCCTCACCTTGACAATTCCAAAGGCCGCCAACACAGCACACTACAGTAACAATGGACCAGTAACGACTGAGCCTCAAACTTATCATGCCTCGCATCAGACTCTGGCTTTGCTTTGACTGCTCCCTGAGCAGGGTGTGCGCTTTGGCGAGCTGCTGCTTCCTTGGCATTCCAGCAAAGCCTCATGTGCTCCAAACAGTTCTGATGCCGATGATGCCAAGGCTCGCTTCAAGATTCGAGGGATCATTTTCCTTTGCTGCAAGCAGGCTGCCTTACAGCTGCTTCCCTGGACGCGTAGGTGCCGCACCAACACCGATGCAAAGTCAGTCTTGGCCTTCTCTGGCTCTCCAAGACCAAGGTGCCTGATCGCAAAACATCTGCAGCACGGCCGTGCATGCCCGAACCGATCAAGCTTGAAACATCCGCGCAAGTCAAGCTGCGCAAGTCCGCGTCGGAACAAGGCTTTGATGTTGGAGGGATCTGGAGGGCTGATTCCACCTGGCACGCGTGAATGAACTTCCATCGCTAGCAGCCAATTGCCCAAAAAGCAGGTGCGCCTCCATTTAAGATCTCCTTAGTGTCAGAGCAAGTGTCACCATTCGGGCTGCATCTCCCCTGCATCCCCTGCAATCGAGCAGCCGTGCACAACTCAGCCGCATCTCGGAACTGTTCAAGCTTCAGCCAGGCCATGACTTCATTGCTGCGGGAGGTTTGCCGCAACTCATCGCCCACCAACCGGAGATCCTGCAGCATCTTGCGTAATTGCATGATAATGCAGAATGCGGAGAAATTGTCCTTTTTTCATCGGGCGTTAAGGCCCTGAGGGTTCAGCACCAATACTCTCTCTGTCTCTCTTGCTTTGCTTAGCAGCGCCATGTACCGCGCCGAATCGCTTCACTCAAGAACCTGTTACATCACAAGTACATGTTGCCAAACTCGGGGATATGGCATTCTATGCTTGGCTTCACTCAGTACATCTTGGGGCTCGTATTCAAGTCGGTTCGATCAGCGGTGGTACAGGGACTCGTTGCCGGGCCAGCCGCAAATTCTATCAGCTGTTGAGCTCGTTGTCAGGCCAGCCCAGTTCCATCACTGGTTGTAACTGCATTGGTTGTCGGGCCGAGAGAGTGGGCCCCCAAGATGGCGACGGGAGGCTCTGGAAGAGTACTTTTGAAGGAACGAGAGAAGCAGGACCGAGGCTCGTTGTCGGGCCAGAAGTCGTTACAGACTCTATCTCTCTGTTTTTGGGCCTCAGCGCGTGCACCCCCCTGAAGTTCGAAATGTAGAATGTGTGAAGTTTATTGGCATTCCAGATTCAAAGCGCCGTCTCTCTTCTTCTCAGTGGGGCTCTGCAGAGACCGAAAGCCCAGTGGAGCGCTCCCAACCCCGCATGTGTGCAGGTCGTTCTGTCAGACCGGGAGGAATGCAATGCCAGGTATTCTAGGACCAGGAGATACCACGATGTCAAATTCCTTCTGCTAGGTCTACATGCACCCCTTCTCTCTGCCCCGGAATGGCACTCTTGTGAAACTGCTGCAGGCCCTCGACCTCCCGATACTGGTTCACGTTAGCCCCCTGATTTCAGTCTCGTGGAGGCACTCCTACCCTGCACTTCGCACTGGCCCGCGCTCATGGCCAGATTGCGAGCTATGCACAGGTGTATGGCCGAGACTGCCCCACTCCCACACAGTCTAGATCTTTCCCATGGGTGGTAGTAGTACTCCGTGACACGAGCCTCCTTCTTCTTCTCTATTGCTATGTCTCTTCTCCAATAGGTTCTGCACACCTCTTGGCAACTTATAGAATAGGAAGAGACAGGCTTTTGGACTGCGTCAGAGCATCCCTTGCCAGGCTCCCGTGAGACAAGCCTTTGCAGATTTGGCCCGCTGGCTGGGAGACTATTAGGCAGGGGGGTTAAACAACTTTTCCGCTGAATCACAACATGTCTTTCCCAGAAAACATTTCAGCATTGGATGGATTTTTGAATTTGGGGTGTGTTTCAGGGAGGGAGGTGCTGTCGCGGGATTGCGGCAAATTTTGTCGTTGTCCGGTTCAGTGTGTCCTGACGACTGTCCAGGTCGGTGTGCCCAACCCAAATTTATTCACACTTTGATCAACTCTATGCATGTCATACTGCTTGCCTCATCGGGTACCATCTGCTTGCCTGATCGGGCGATATCGAGTGCCACGCGGCATCTGCTTGGTATAAATATCTGACACCCCATAATTAGCGGCAACTCACATTCAACATTGTCTTTTGCAAGGTGTTGGGTGGGTTTTTGCTGGGTTGTGTTGTGTGGTGGATGAGTCCGGGGTTGCTTGGGTTGCAGCTGGATCTGTGATAGAAAATGTTGTCTCCTGTTTGCCGTGCATGCCGGAACATTTGGGGGGCGGGTGTCCCAATCTGGGTCCCACTAATTTTTTGATTTTGTCGTGGGCAGTGTTCTGGTAATGTCGTGGGCGGCATCCCGAGGGCCAACTAATATGCGCGTTACTGCTATCTCTACGATCCATGTCAGATGATAGATGATCGATGCTGATTTAACTCCCTCTCTTTCTTTCTGTCTTGGGTATAGGGCAGCCCGGAAGCCACCCTTGGGGCCTTGCCCCAACCCTGCAAGTCTGCGCAGCTCCCAGTCGGTCGACCCATGAGGCCCGATGTACCCTCCATACTAAATGTCCGCACATCACAAAATGAAGATGTCACTGGCCCTCGTAATCATGAAGCCCTGGGCGGACACTTAGGTACGAAGTTCCATCCTACTCAAAAGGGCTGTGAGACTGACGTTCTCCGGCACGGCAGCAGCTCTCCAGTGGCACCAAGCAACCTGACCCATCGTTAGATACTAAAACCCTTCAACGCCGCAAGCCCTATCTACCCCATTCAGTGCCACACCCAACCCGTCCGCTGCTCTGCTGGCAGGGTGGTCAAGTTTTTGCTTTGATGCCTGCCTCAGCCTCGTTCAATCCCTTACACTACAACAACACAGGAGGGCATATTACGTCCCCAGAGGATAGACAATAATGCGCGGTGCTAAATAGCCAATATGTGATCATTTTCA